TTCTTCCAAAAGTAGGAAACTGTGCAGTACAGTATCTTTGCTTTTTGCTGTGGAGCTTATACTGAACAATCTAGATTTTGAGGCTGATCTTGTATTTTAAGACTAGAACTTGTGTTAGCAGCGGTAGACCAGGATTGGCTGTGAAGTCCATAAAAAGTGATTTGATTATATAGAGAAAGGTGAGCATAGTGCTTTTTATATGAGGCAGTATTTCTGCCTGGTAATTATTTTAAATGAGAACTGATCTGGTAGATCATATAATTTATGAAATTTAACATGAATAAACTTTGAATAAAATAAAATGAAACTTTAAAAAAAAAATTAAAGCTATAGCAAATATACATGAGGTGAGGGAAAAAATCCCATTTTGATTGTAAAAAGGATTATGTACTATGACGGTTATTTGCACACACAGAAATATATGCCAAGATTTAGGTTCTGTTTAGCTGTTTAAGGCGACAGAGCTAATCTATGAATAACGAGTTCTCCTAACATCTATCACTGAACCCTACCCAAGGTATCTGGAAGCAGAACATCAAAAATGAATGTCATCTGACAGCAGCCAGATCACTACCAGAGTTAAAATAGCCCTGGACATGTAGCTCATGATGTGTGATATACAAGTGGTACGTATCCGTTTACTGTGGGTGTTGTAGTGGTGAGGTTGTTTTAACTAACAACTGTGCATCTCAGGCTGCAGCACTCAACTCTTGGGTCACAAATAAAAGAATCTACATTAGAAAGATCTTTAACTTATATTTACGAGTAATATTATGAGATATGCAGGATTTAGATACTCGCCTCATTAGTTGTTTGAATATCATAGCAAGCATAACAAAAGCATGTTTCTTGAGTGAGGTCACTTACCCCTTTTCTCCTTTGGTGTAATCTTATGGTAGGCTGAGATATACTTTGGATTTGAAAACCACGCATTTGCATTTGTACATTATGCCATGATAATTAAAAAAATTCCTCCTACAGACATAAATAATGTTTTGTCTGAGTTTTGTAGAATTAAAAAAGATAGCTTTTTAGTGTCTGGTACCATTCTTACTACCGAGTTGCCTTGCAGAGGTAGCCGCTGTAAATTACTGAAGTCTGCCTTGCAGAGGATTGTGGCAGGAGGCCTCCGAGCTGCAGAAATAATAGAATATGATATACTGAAATGGAAATAAAGACAACAATCTTATGGACTAGAGAAATCACTTGATGACAAAAGACTGGTTTTATTTTTGTTATTATCTGAGACTCATTTTTTTTTTTAATTTAATCACATCTGAGTCTTTTAGTTATTTGTTGTCTTTTGCATATTCCTTATAATTTCAATGATATTTTTAAGCTTCCCACATTTGATGTAATTTTATGCATCTAACTTCTCCTTGCCTTTTTGTATTTTTCTTTGTCAAGTATAATCTAATCTTCTAATAATGACTTTGAAAGTGTATTTGTTCGATCTTACCTGTCAAGCCTTTATCAGTTTTCTCATCTTATATAATTTGTAGATTTTTACGAAAGCCTTCTTAGAATTTATTTTATAAGGAGTTCCAGGCATGAAATAAGGCTCCGTTGTTGAACAAACTGTACCTATGTTAACAAAATGGTCTCTCTTTTATTTTCAGTTATTTTCATTACGTATTTGATGTGCAGAATAAAAAACCAAATGATGGCTTGAATTCTCACTCACATTTAGGGGTCAGAAAGCCCCACTGATTGATTTTAACTTGCACATCACCAAAAAGAGTTTCTGCAGTTGAAATGTGTTTAACAGTTCTGTATTACTGGCTTTTTAATCCTTATTCTTGCACAAGTGCTACACTTGTGCAACACTGAGAGGAGGGAAAAGCAGCAAATCTTAGTTTGCAAGTAAATCACATAGTTAGAACTTGAACTTTACAGGGAGAGCAGAGCTGTTTAGCAAGTAGGAGAGTATCTGTTTTGCAAATAATGACTTTGCGATAAGGTGAGAAGAAAATGAATAATTATAAAGATATTAAGTCTATTCTTTGTTTCTGTGTATTAGTCTTGCTTGTAACATCTGTAGTGATGAAAGAGGGCTCCTCTCTGGGAGCTTATGTATAAACAAAGGACCAAAATGCCATTCCTTCTTCAAAGAGCTTTCAATCTCCTTTCAGGTTTTCTGCTTTCTACCCTTTATTTCTGCCTATGGTTTTGCATAATTTAGGATATTCTGATGTGCAATGCAGTTGTGGAAAGAGAGTTTGAAATGTTTTTCAACTTGTGATCTAGTTTCATGCATCAAGCCCCATGCCCTGAAATGATAGCAAGGCGACGCGGATTAGTGAATCTAGAGGCAAAGGTGAGGAAGATAATTTTTTTCCTCTCCCAGACTAATTTTTGATTGACTTTGTGAACTAAGTAACATGCAGTCCCTTCCCATAGCCCATAAGTTAGCAATTAAAAAAACCCAAAGCTATGTTTTTAAAAGCACAGAAGTTGTGAGATCCTTTCTTATTAGCAAGATTTGATTTTTATGCAGTTCAGTGGTGCAGTCTGCCACTTTCTGTTCCACAAGGTAAGGTAGCAGATCAGATGCTACCTTCAGCAGCAGCATGATCTGCTTTATGTCCACAGATACAACCAAAGTCCCGGAAATTATTTTTTGCTAGTCTATATTAGTAAACCCCTAATAAGTTACTGGGAGCAGGAAAAAAAACATTTTTCAAGTCTGCTATACTACTAGTTACAAAAAATTCATAGAAATTCGATTGTAATGGAAAAATATTTTTACTAAATATATAGAATTCTGGTTGTAATGGACTCCAAAGTCCTCTGTTCTTTATCTGTGCAGGTACTTCTGCATATTTCCAAAATGAAAGCAGCAAATTCTGTGGTGACACACAGTAACTATAGAAACAGAAAACATCCCCGATGTTTAAATTAATGAAATGTTCTTTTTCTGAAATGCTCTGGCATGTTTTTCCTTTTCCAGGAAAGAAATTTTGGCCATGGGCCTGTTTTCCTCCCCCCACCCCAAATTCAGTGTCTCATATTAAAATACAGAGCTAGCATAAAACTCAAATGAATACTGAAGCTGTAGAATCCATGTTTGCAATAAGATCAGGGAGAAACATCTTGTAGGTTGTGTCTTATTCCAGTCTTGAAAGTTGTTCTCTTGTTGCAGATTTGAAAACTGTATTTAAAAAAAAGATAATTTATCCTTGCCCCGTTGGTTCAAGTTAGCTCTTTTTTGTATATTTTATTGGCCAAAGCAGAATCAGTGTAATCTTTTCCAGTTCTTTTCTGGTTCATTGCAAGGTGCATCAAAAACTGTCTTAATATGTTTGACTGAAGAAAATGTTGTGCTGGAATTAGTATGACTTGGACTTCTGTATGGATAGTAAGTAAATCTATTTTGTTCTCTGTTGAGAAATTTTGGCAAGCAACACGGTGTCTGTATAAGAGGAAGATATATATATAATATATGCATGTGAAGTCCTACATGTGTCTGGAAAGCTGCCACTTTGTAAGAAAGCATGGGAAATACAGAGTTACGACAGGTCAAAAGTCTGTATTTAGGTGGAGAAAATAGCTGTGAGATGTCAATATAAAATGGAATTTTATTGCTTTGGAATTGAACAGTGTTGTTGCTCACTTCAAAGTCCAGAAGACGCATTTATCAGAAAGAATGGATCATGATGGATTCTTCTCACCAAGGTGACAGAAATAGATGAGATCTCCTTTGCAGGGTGATGGTCACTAGCACAGACCAGAGTGATGTCCTCGCCTACCTTGAATTTGCTGTGCAGGAGCAGCCTTGATGCCCTCTAGCGATCGAAGTGCCAGAGTGTTCTCCACAGAATCACAGAATGTTAAGGGTTGGATGGGACCTCAAAATATCATCTAGTCCAACCCCCCTGCCAGAGCAGGATCACCCAGAGTAGGTCACACAGGAATGCATCCAGAGGGGTGTTGAATGTCTCCAGAGAAGGAGACTCCACAACCTCCCTGGGCAGCCTGTGCCAGGGCTCTGTCACCCTCACAGCGAAAAAGTTTTTTCTAATGTTTTTGTGGAACGTTCTATGCTCCAGCTTGTACCCATTGCCCTTTGTCCTATCACTGGACATCACTGAAAAGAGCCTGGCTCCATCCTCCTGACACTCACCCTTGCTGTATTTATAAACATTAATGAGATCACCCCTCAGCCTCCTCTTCTCCAAGCTGAAGAGACCCAGCTCCTCCAGCCTTTCCTCATAAGGGAGATGTTCCACTCCCTTCATCATCTTTGTGGCTCTGCGCTGGACTCTCTCCAGCAGTTCCCTGTTTCTCTTGAGCTGAGGGGCCCAGAACTGGACACAATATTCCAGATGTGGCCTCACCAGGGCAGAGTAGAGGGGCAGGAGGACCTCTCTCGACCTACTGGCTACTCCCCTTCTAACCCACCCCAGGATGCCATTGGCCTTCTTGGCCACGAGGGCACATTGCTGGCTCATGGGCATCCTGCTGGTCCTCCAGATCAGCTTTGAATGACTTCAGTGTGAATGGTACTCTATGCCTGACTGGGATTGGTAGGCAGTCTGAAGCCAATTTAAGCTCTATGTTGTTTTTAAAGAGCTGTATCAGAAGCATATGAGGCTTCAGTCTGCACGCCTACCATTTTAAGCAAATAGGCATGACCTTAATTTACATCTGATAGTACTGTTACTCCAACTTGATATTATCTTCCTCTGAATATCAAATTTTCTTTCTTTTTGCTGCTTAATTCAGGACTGATTCAATAGTAGTAAGCTTCACTGTGCCTGTTACAATTGTTGCAAAGCATCCAAAGCCAAGTTAGGCTTTACTAAGGTACACAAGAGCTTTGAACCTTGTATGTTTTGACCACCTTCAAATCTGAGCACCTTTGCATCTATTCTGAATTTTGAAACCACTTGTTAAGCTTTTGTGATGGGGAAGTGATTTCTCTGCCGTTCTTCCTGTATTTTGTGAAGTTTCTGTATCTTGTAAAGATTTTTCATTCTAAAATTTTCTGTTTTCTTTAGGGTACAGCAATATTACAGTCTGGAGTCTTACCAGCTATACCAGGTAGGAGCCATTTAGCTATTTGCTTTGCTAAAGAATAATGTTTAAGCCTCAAATTGTGGTGAGAGAAACAGAAAATTTATGACAGCAGAACTAAAGTCTATATTGAGAGGTACCCTGTTTGTCGTTGGTCTTGCTGCTGCACTTAATGGCTGACAATTACAACACATTGTAATCTGTAGTATGTTTTTTTTTTTGCAAACATTAATATATTTTGTCTTTCTTTTGTAATTTAAAGCTGTTCAAAGTTGTCAGCTTCCATATGAAATTGTTTGGTGCTTTTTCTACTTACATAGTTGAAGAGCATCAAGAAAGTGTTATTTTTATGCTATATTAAGACCGAGGGGAAACTTGATTGATATGTTCAGTGTGCATACCAAGTTTTCTAAATAACATAAAACCACAGGAAGGGATCCTTACCAAAGGCATCATGGAGATGTTTCTCTCACGTCAGTGGAACTACTGACTGACCAGCAAAATCAATAAAGGGAGGGAGCTGACTGTCTGTCTTTTCTAAATCTGGCAAGATTATTTAGGCAAAGGCAACACGCTGACTGTGTTTGCACTGTAAATCTGTCTATCAGTGGAATCTGTTGGTCATCTTGAGTTCTGGCTAATGTAGCTAAACGGGTCTGGCACCTTTTGTATCATCATTTTACTTCAAAGACAACATTTCATGTACTGTCTCCATCCTAATCCTCAGAGAGATCTGTGCAAAGAATTTGTTTAGTATGTTAAACCTCTTTATATTCCCTGAATTGTTTACCTGATAATTCAGCAGATCCATTAAATTTCTCAGGTTTCCTAATTTCAATAGACACAGAACAGCTCTTCTAGCTTGGGTTCCTTTCTTCTAAAAACCTTGGCAATTATATAAAGAGGTATAGCTGATTGATACTTGTGTGAACAGTCAAGTATGATACCTGGGATCAGGAGGAGTCTCTGGAGAAGGTTATAAGTAACTCCATTCCTTTGTCTGTTTTAGCATGAGAAAATCCAGAAGCTTTTAGCAGATCTTGTTCCTAGTTATTCCAATCGAGTCAGTGGAATTACTCTTGATTTATGGAAGTGTAAGTAGAAGCACAAATGCCATCATTAACTCTAATATTTCCTTCTGGTACTCAAGTTTCTAGTCCTCTAATCTACTGAAGGAAGCCAGAGCACTTACGATTAAAGTGTGGGTAAATACAGGGGTGTACAGCTGTGTGTGGCGGGCACAGTATTTCTTCATTAATTCCAGTGGCAAACTAATTGTGAATGCAAACAATATCTGACAAAAACCTAGTCTCAGACTATTCATGCAGATGAAGGAATTAGCTGTTTTGATACAACCTGTCATTAAGCAAACTAGAAATGTAGAAATACAGGACAGATTTTTAGATCAACAGAAAGGGGAGATACAAGACTGAAGAAAGCTGTGTGGGTAGGTATTCCTGTCTCTTACACTGGGAAAATATTGTTTAAGAACTGAATACTTGTTGGGATAAGTATGAATGCTTTAGGAAAATGCAGCATCTAAAGCTAGTGACTGAAGTTTTTAGCTATGTCTGTGGGATTTAGTCTCTCAAACATTCTAATTATATACCTTGTAAAACTTTGTTCTTCAGTATTACACTATCTTTCAGAATACAGGAAAAAACCACATTTTCTCTGGCTTGTTGGATTTTTATTATCCTCAGGTACTTCAGTTTAAAGTATTGTCTTTTATATATGTGAAAATCTCAAGTATAATTGAACTTGGTGTTGCAAAGCTTTCAAAATAATACAGTTAACTCTGGCTGTTTTGTTTCTACCATCTTTAATCCAAGGCATTAACTGAAGACCCTTGGGTGTTGAACAGTCATTCAAACAGTTCTATTGGACTAAAGGAACAGCCTTAGAACCTTTCCATATTTTTCTATTATGATCTTTTAATCTATTGTGGAGGATAGCATAAGGGCATGCTAATTTGAGGTAACTACTTTCAAAACCTGGCTTGTACACGTACACAGCAGGATACGTCTCCTAGCATGAGTAATTTTACAATGACCCAGTACACAGCTATGTTTGTTAGTGTAGCAGTCCACTTGGTCATAATCATGTTTCTTTTTTATCGCAGAAAGGACTGTATTTTCATTCAAATACACCATACAAATGCAAACCCACTTCTTCCAGTGCCCACGTGCTCTGTACAATATTTTTTAATATCTTGAATGCCCCAATTCTGTAGTAAGAAAGGAGTTAAAGAGTCAGGATTAATTGTTTGAATATTTTTCAGTTGATTGGTAGTGAATGTGGGTGATAATATTCTCTTTCTACTCATATATGCTGAGCAATAGACTCAGCAACTTCAGAGAAATGTATCTAATTCTAATGGGAAGATGAGAAATGCTCATAAATGTGGCAACAATTCTGAATTGTATTACTAGATGGAAAGAAAAACAAGTTTAGGTGTATCATTTCATTCTGGTTTAAATAATTTGGCTGTCTTTGTTATAAATAACTTTATAAAGATTGATTAGAAAGAGAGACTGAATTAGACTGCCTGCATTAGTAGGAGGAAAGTGTTCCTGCTGTTATACCATAGCTTTGTAGTACAGATCAATGTAAGGGATTCTTTGGAGTTGTATGATGTGGGAATGCTTGCTCCTGAATATAATAGACTGCATTTATGGTTATTATGGACCTGAAAATACCATGACAAGATAGAGGTTCAAAAATGTGATTCAGACTTCCTGATTTATGAGACTGCTAGGTTTCGGAGGCACATAGTTTTAGTACATTTGGTCTAAGAAAGTCTCATGGGACATATACAGAGTTTCTCATGAATGCTTAAGAAATTCTGTAGAATGATCTACATATATATATATATGTGGGTCCTTTTCTCAGGAGCTGCTTATGTGTTTGGAATTAAGGGATCATGAATGAGGTACACATTCAGTGTTGAGAGGTGAAACAAAAAGATGGCACAACACAGAATGGTGAGCTGAAGAGCTTGTCATTATCTTGATTATCTTTTTTGGTAGTATAAATCAAAGTACAGTAGAAAAAACAGGGTTAAAGATGTTGTCTAGCTCAAACCTCTGCCCTGAGGTTAGGATGTACTCCTGTGTACCTGACAAGTATTTGTTTAAGCATGTTCTGCAGTGAAAGTCTTTAATCTACCTTAAATCATCCAAAGTCATTTACTATGCTTGCATTTATAATGTATTTCCTAAGAATCGTGGTGTTTCTTGCTATGATTCGGATCTCTTAAAGCCTATACTTCACTCTAGTTCATTGCAATAACTTAGATAGGAACCTCCAGCCCTTACTTATAATGTCTTCATGTTCTCCGCCAAAATACTTGGATTTTCTTGGTTGAGTAGAACTCAAGTCATAGCTCTCCTGTTTGATCGATGATGTTTAAAACAGGTGGTTGTTTCATGAGGAGGGAAGAATGCCATTATTTCTTTCCTTAGTTGACAACCCTTCCAAATGAACTGATCAGTCTGCATCCCAAGATTTTTGTTTAGAGGAGCTAAACTGAGAACTGGAATGAGTTTACAGAAATGATTAGGGTCCCTCTGCAATCCCTGGAGAAGACAATGCAGGCCCTGTGCACCATATTTGAGAAACTTTTGTCCATTCCCATTAGCTGCAGGGAAGCTGATTGCCTAGGCTTTCCCAAGAGCCAGACCCAGCCTTGGGCATTTCAACACTCAAATGAAACATCTGTGGTGGGAGGTCTGATCTCCCTGTTGTTCTGTGCTGCAGGCTCTGGCATTACAAAAATCAATAGCTGAATGGAAAAATAAGTTAAGAAATATAGTCCCATGGAAGCAGCATGCTTTAATATTGTTAAGTTTTATGACTTTTAAATCCTGTTCCTTTTTTTCCACATTTCCAAATTCATCAGCATTGCAACAGACCGTTGCTGCATGACAGCCACCTTGCTTGTAATACTAAACCTACACAGTGCTTAGATGGGAAATGTTCTGAGGATGAATTAAGGAATAAAAAGAAACAATGCTGTCGACTGGAATTCGGCTGAAATTTCAGTTGGATGCTGATTATGAACATTGTATCTCTATCAAATTGTACATAGGTAGATGGAGAGTCGAGGTACGCAGATAAAAAGAAAGAAAATGAAGTGTGTAAGAGGTCATAGATGCTGTAAATGAACTCAGCTGTCTGACAGCTTAGCTTGTAGGATGGAAAAACATGCTTCCTTTCATTGCTTTAAAAAAATTTTTATTGTGAACCTGTGCAGACTGATACTTCTATTCCAAGCTTAGAAGGAACCTTTCAAGGAATTAATTGAGAGCAATGAGGAAGAAGAATCTGGGCTATGTTAGTTGTTGTTGCTTACGTTAAAAATAATTTATAATTCACTTTTTTTTTTCCCAGGAAATGTGTTGATAGCTTTTCAGATGTATTAAAAGAAAGCACACTATGGTACTTTTATTGAGCCAGTAAAGGACTGTGTGCTGAGCAGTGCCTACCATAAACACGTTGTACCTCATAGAGCTAAACACTGTAATAGAAGAACATTATTATATTGAGAAACTGATTAATAAAACCTTGCCCTGATATGACAGGTTCTTTCTTGATCATACTTTATTTTTTAAGTGCACTCAGAATAATTCCATAGGGGAAGGAAAATAGGAGGTCAGAAAAAGTAAGCTGATTAAAGTACGTATTGCATAAAGTACGTGTTGCTCAACCTTGTCCTTAGTGACTGTCTGAATTAACAGGTGCCGAAAGGAGGTAAAAAAGAAAGTGACTGTGGTGAAACCATATGCTAGTAAATTATCTAAATGCTGCTACTTCATCCCCTGGACTGAGTAGATGCAGCAGGTCCCTGTTCCCTGTTTTGGGGATGAGGAAAGGTGGTAGTCCTTGCCACGGTGACCTTCTAGTTCTGCCTTTAATACATTCCTGATTGCTTCCCCTTGCCTTCTCTGACACTGAAATATGGGCAAATTACATATCCCAGCTGAAGGAAGAAGGAAGAAACACAGATATCAGGAACCTTATTTGCAAACACAGCAATTATTTCAGCTTTTTTTTTAAAAATAGATTTTTTAAAATAAAAAATCATATTCATATTAAAATGTATTTTAATTAAAAATAATTTAATTTGCATTTTATTTTTATTAAAAATATATTTTTTTTATATAAGGAAGCACATTATGTGACCTTCGTTCTTGGCCATTGTAGATTCCGAGCTTCAGGTATATCAAGATTTTTGGAGTAAATGTATGTAAAGCGTTGCTGAAGGTGTATTTTTCAGAAAACAGACACTGAGTTTCCTGGTACAGGAAAATTATAATAATTCTAGCTTAATGCTTGCATTTTTAAGGATAGGATGCTGGGCTGGAGTGACCCTATGGTATGAATAATAGCTAGAAGTAGTTAGATCTTCTGTGATTCTTTTGGACACACTAAAGAGGCATCTTTGTGGAGTCATATTTGAACAGTCAGTGTGCTTGAATGTGTTTGTAATTTTGAATGATTCTAAGACCTCTGAAGCTGATTGTTTGAGAGACAGGAGGTATTTCCGAATGTGGTGAAATAGGTAGAGCAAGTAAACATTTTTAAACATCTCCTTCAGCTTTTATGTGCTGCAGATAATGCCATTTGTTTAGCAGAGAATATATGAATTCACTTTGAAAATTCCAGAGTAACAAACTTAGGGAAGTTTTATAAGAGAATTATACAGTACCAGGAAGTCTTTTATTATACTTACATAAAAAAACCCCTCCTGGTGTACATGCAGTATTCCTCCTGTCAGTCAGCATCTCTAGTCTTTGGACGCTCTTTTAAACAAGGTATCTGTTTCCAAAGGAGGAGATGGAAAAGTTGCTTGGCTGAGTGGATCAAAGTAGTAAAGGTAGTTCTAATTCAACAAGAGTTTGTGGTAGTGCGTAGTATTTTCTTCTGTCCTGGTTCCTTCTCTTATAGCTCAGACCTGCTGAGTTTGTGACCTACTCTATGATGGCAAAGTAGTGGCTGGACAGTAGGAAGTGGTTGCTGGCTAAATGCAGAGTAGTGCCGCATGGGTCTGCTCACTGGCGTGCAGTGATAGGTGATGGGATTTGAAAGAACAGTCTGGGCTCAGTTTATAGCATGTATTCCAGCTTCTCTCTCCTTTGTTATTTTTTTCCATCTCTCTTTCTTGTAGCACATGTGCCCTAAACTGAGCTTATTTCTGAAGAGTGGGTGTAAATAAATGACCATGAAGTTAGAAGAATCTTTTAAATTGTGGTTGTCTTCATTGAGATACATTAGACTTTTGAGCCTAATCATATGCAGGAAT